ATTACATCATTATAATGCGACGAACTGAGGAAGGGCCGATGTTAACGTGCATGCTGATGACTCCAATTATAACTACAGGCTGTTTGGTTCGCGAGCACGTCGATTAATAAACAGTCTCTGTTTACAACCATACACTATCAAAATAGTGTATATTTTTGGAGCAGCTGGTCACAGTAAAGAGCGACGCACAAGCCCGCACATTTGAAGATGTCTGTAACGGAGATGTTTAGCTACATCCAAGGATTTTTGAGTGCTGATCAAGATATTCGAGAGGTACACAACTGCACTGACAAGTAAAAAAAGGTTTCCTTGGAGAAAAAAAAGAGGAAGAAGCAACGTAAAGTCCGTTTGGATTGTTATGCACTTGTCGCAGAACCTCTTCATAAAATATTGCTTTATCAGTAATATTCACAGTAATACAATTTGTGACTTGTGAATTAAATATAATAATGTGCAACGGATGTCAAAGTCTAGACAAAGTTCTGCTGATCTCTTTTTGAATTTTGCTCTTTTTATTATTATCCATATAACGTTATGTGCTCTCGGACGACTCTCAACTTTCTATGCTCTTCCTGTAGGACATAAGAAAAGTTGTCCAAGTTCTGGAGCAGACAGCGAGAGAGATCCTCACTGTTCTTCAAAGTGTCCATCAACCAAGTGGTTTCAAAGACAGTAAGTTAAAATACTTGATCTTTTTGTCTACATAATGTCTTTTCTAATACATTTTCACTCCCTCCTCCAGTTCCCAGCAAGTGTTTGAAGGCTAGAGAGCTGTTCTGCACTGTAAGAAACCACACTGGAGAGCTGAAAACTAAGTTCCCTGTGGAACAGTACTATCGGTTAGTGTAGATGCCTCTTCAACTATTTTTTCCCTCAGTGATTGAATAGATCATGCTTCTGGTCTAGTCTTGATAATTATAATAAAAACTGGCACATCCTCATCTTTCCATAGGTATCATGAACAATGGAGATTTGTTCTTCAACGACTTGCCTTCCTTGCAGCTTTTGTGGTATACCTGGAAAGCGAGTCCTTGGTTACACGTGAGGAAGTGGCAAAAATACTTGCCAGTATGTAATGTTCATGTTTATTTATATTGTATATCTTGAATGCTTGTGAGACTGTTGTAGATTAATTCTAATTTACACTTACACAGTTGAAGTCGACAGAGAAAAAGGGTTTCATCTGGATGTGGAAGACTATCTTGCAGGAGTTCTTATTTTGGCCAGTGAGCTGGTAAGTGTTTTTCCTCTCTAATTCATTCAAACTACCAATCTTATAATCGTTAGTAGTATTAATGTACCTGCTACTATATTTAAACATATATGCTTACATTAACTTAACATTAAAAGGATCAAGACATGGATTTTTTTTATTTAATTCCTTTAAGTTAACTTATAATAAAATAAAAAAACTATTTTTAAGGGGCGCGTCCTTTAAGGCTTCTCAGTAAACAGCCACTGTTTTGATTGGCTAACATCATTGCATAGGAAACAATATCACAGTCCCCTCACTATTGCATGTAAGTAGGTGTCATTAAAATGAAACCATCCACTTGTTTCTGATGCTGGGATCCTTCTGAAGGCTGTACAGAGACACAAATACATCACAATTAACATTCTTTACTCTTCCATTTGTCCTGTTGTCAGCAGACTCAAATGTGTTGAGTACATCAGAAATGGAACAAGTTTCTTTATACTGTGTCCAGTGTAGAAAGGGTCAATGACTATAATGGGATCTGTTTGCTTTTGACACAACTCAACACTCTCATTCGGTGTAGACAAATGTCAACCATTAAGCGAATGACTGCTAATGGGCGGGGCCTGTGGTGCAACAATGTATTTCCAAAGATTTTTGATATACAAAGACGGTGCACTCCTATTATTTACGAATGGGAGAAAGTGCAACACACAGTATGGCGGAATAGTCCCGCCTTCTCAGTAAAAGAGCCATTCGCCAGTTGATAAAATCATTGCGTCACTGCAGCTGCCGTTAGAATCTCAGGTTGCTGTAGAAACAGTAATTGTTCAAAGATGCACACTTAGGACTGCACATATGTGTTGGCTGGTCTAACCTGAAAAATAAGCTTTTTTATTCTATTTGAGCATAAGAAACGATGTCTTTGAACCCCATTCAAAGAGATAGGTGCTGTACTTGCATGACTAAAATAGCTGCCTGAGAGGTGTTTCAGATATGGCTGCCAAGTGAATTGACTTGTCTTAAAGGGACTGTGGTATAAGTAACTATTTGTCGATGTATCGCTCCAGAGGCAGTCATATGCAAATGTATGTACCCATGGGACAACTCATTGGGTTGATGGTTTTTGTTGTAATGAGCTACAGCATCCATGGGTGAGGGTGTGGGCGTCACACAATATGATGCGTTGATAGTTCACCATTCATTCATGATATACAGTACATTGTTATATACAAAGTACCTGTCACAATATTAGACATTCACTATGCAGTTATAGTGTCCAAAGGAATTCACGTTAACAATATTACTGCAACATCTACAAACCGAAATGTTTTGGGAAAAAATAACACTTTCAGTTGTATTCATCTTTAACTATATTTTTTGTTTTCGCTTTTTTGGGCAATAAATCACACTCATACAAGTGTAGGGAGTCATAGTGAGCGAGTTTGTAATTATAATTGTACAAAGTTATCCAAAAGAACCTACCGTTGATCTGCATTTAATGCAGACTGGGTGTCAAATTTTTTTCAGAATCTAAAAAACACTGGTGAACGAACTTTTTTCAGGTACAGGTAGAATTTTATGCCAAGTGGCAACCAGAATTAAGGGCCATTCACACACGTTGTTGTGTTAAAAACAACTTGAGATGTGAGCAGCAGAATGGAAAAAAGTAAGGTTTTGAGGTCAAACTTATTTTAACTTGAGCGCCATGTTTTTAGAATGTCACAAAAGACGTAATCAGAATTGTCAAACAAACATTGTCAAACATTTTTTTACATAAAAAAAAAAATAGTATGCAAATGCAAAAATGTGTTCTTTGTGAACAGTCCCTACCCATTGTGTTGGCATATCATTGAGATTGTTACAACGAGCCGCTAGATTATTTAAGATGTGCATTTATGATATTTTGAGGCATTATTGTGGATTTTGCCTTCTTGATGTGAAATAAACTTTGGCAAGAGCGGAAAGAATGCGAATGAAATTAAAAGCACAATGTACCTGTTGCATTTTTTTCCATTTAGTCGAGGCTGGCAGTGAACAGCGTGACCGCAGGTGACTATGGACGTCCGCTTAGGATCTCAAACTTTATCAACGAACTTGACTCTGGCTTTCGGTTGCTCAACTTAAAAAACGACCCTCTTCGCAAGCGCTACGACGGCCTCAAGTACGATGTGAAGAAGATCGAGGAGGTGGTGTACGATCTCTCAATCCGAGGCCTTGCTAAGGAGCAGGAGGCTGGAGGAGATAAGTAGAGGCGGTGTGGGAACGCAAGAGGCTGCGGGGCACTACCCAGGCTGGGATTCTCCACGACTGGAAGAGTGGTTAAACCTGTCTGCGAGCAGGGGATCGGAGGAAGAGGGGAGGGAATGGAGGTTTTAAAGCCCCAGCAGCCTTGGGCGGTATCTTTTAAGCCACCTGCCCACCATGACCGAGATCAGTTCAGGTTTTAGTGGGGAGATCTTCTCTTTCTCACTTTTGTTGAGAGATGCTTATGTACAGATGCATTTGTTTGCCTGTTTTTTTTTTTTCTTTTTTTGATTGGATGCTTTTTACTATTATTGATGTTTTTGTCTCGGCCATGTCTCTTGTGAATCATTATGCAGTCAAACATGTGCAAAACCCACATTTTTTGGGTGGGAGATACTTAAAAATGCTGTTAAAAACCGAAGTTCTGTGCCTGTTTTGTGGCTTTGTGTCCAGTTGAGTCATCAAGATGTTTTCTGGATGTTAAACTACATAAATATTACATTTTACACACACCTATGCTCATTGATTTATTAGATTGGGTTTTGTACCCAAGCACTTTTGTTGAATGTAACAGTTCAAATCACATGTTAATGGTATCTTGCCAAGGTGTACATGGAGATACATTTGAAAACCTGTGCCAAAATGTTTAGTTTCATGCCGTAAATACATATTAAATCTTTAAAACATCTAGTGGATTTGCTGTTGGTACATATTTATACTTTCATGTATTTCTCCATTAAAAAGACAGTTCATCCAGTAATTATTATTTACTCACCCTCATGTCATTCCAAACCTGTCTGACTTGCTTTCTTCTTGGGAACAAAATATTTTTTGTCCATACCAAGTCAACAGGGGTCTAGTGTTGTTTTGGACCCCATTGACTTTAATTATGTGGCGAAAAATCACTGTAAACATCTTCAATATCTCTTCTTTTGTGATGTACAGAAGAAAGTTATACAGGTTTGGAACTACATGAGGATGAGTAAATAATGACAAAATGTTAATTTTTGGATTAGTACTTGAGATCAAAGTGATTTATTAGTGCAAATTTGACCGCTGGTTTATCCCTTCTGCTTTTTGGTTCATATGTTTCTTTCCTTTTGTTCTGGCTCTTATGTTGTTGCATGCAAAAATAACACTAAAATCTTCCAAACAGATGTTTTCAAAGGACAAACTGCCAGTGCATTTGTTTTCCTTTGTAAAGGTTTATGGCAACTTTTAATGTTCCTCCCTATTTTGTTTGTGGATTCTTAGTGCATTGACTTCTTTTCATTGCTCTTCTTGTTGTGGCTTCTTTGTGGGTGCATGTTTTATCTGCTCTTTCAGTGTTTTTGGGGGGCTTTTACTTAAAATGGTTAAAAAATAAATTCTCTGCAATAATGCTTTGTATTCTGTTTCTCTCCAAAGACAGATTTCTCAGAGAGATGTCTTACCTTTTCTGAGTATTTGCATTTGAAATGCCTGTGTCATGTGGTGTTTCGACTTTCGCTTTTCACTGGGAAAACATTCGCTTGTTCACTAATGTTTCTTACCTTTTCTGAGTATTTGCATTTGAAATGCCTGTGTCACATGTGGTGTTTCGACTTTCGCTTTTCACTGGGAAAACATTCGCTTGTTCACTAATGTTATGTAATAAAGATTCACACTGGGAATAATGTTCTCAGAAAATATGGAGTCAGTTGAGAGAGATGGATACTCGTCATTTTTAATTGTAATTCACAATATTTTACACAACCGAAAAAAATATTAAATTAGGATTTTTAAGAACGGAAAAAAGTATTTATCAGCTTGACTGGTCTCAGCTCTCAGTCCTGGCAGGTTCAACTCTTTTCGTTGTGTAATGTGGAAGCTACAGTATGATATTTCTAACAGTATCAGTGCCATCGGTAAAAACAGTAAATATTCATGTTGAAACCTAAACACCTAAATCCAGTGATATTGACAATTTCTATCCATCAGTATTGAGTTTATACATACAGAGAGACCAGAATGACTGATTGATTGCTATTGCTGAAGTCAACTGTGGTTCTTTTTCTCTTAAAGCTAAAACAATCTTTAAAACAAAGTACAATAAAGCTTTGTAAACTGCAGAACAACGTCCTCGCTCCAGTTTTAGGACCTTCATATTAAAGTGCATCAAACAAAAACATTTAACGAGTTGTCATAAAGCACAGTCTGTATATCAATGGGAAGTCAGAATATGATAGCAGCTACTGAAAAATTATACATCTGTTTCTCAATTTGACATAAGGCCTGATTCGTGGGTAAAAGGAGAGGAAAAACTTGAACAAAATAGTACTAAGGACTCATTCAGTATCAAAGAAACAAAGGCACATATTTTCTCCCCCTCAGAGATCACAAAGTAAACCAAAATTGTAATTTAAGCTACATCATTTTGGGGGGAAACATCCAATTGACATTTTTTCTATTTGAAGATTTGGTGTATAGCCACAGATGGTTTCAGCACAACCATTAATGTGGCAATGATCATAATACTTGATGCTACACCCTCATTAGACTGTGGAGAAAACACCAAAAAATGTTTGTTACATCACCGATCACAAGAATATGGGTACCTGTGAATAAAAACAGCTCGACTGCTGCTACATAATACAATAAAGATTATTGCTGTTTTGTAAACCAGCACAGTGATACAAAAATGAGAACTGCTCCTGAATGGCAGTGGGGAAAGATGCTAATGGAAGAGAGAGAGGGGAAGAGGGAATTACAATTATCTGAAAACAAATCAGCTTTACCTCAGTCTTCACACAAAACACAGGTTTCCACTCTCTTGTGCATACTAAAAAGTCCACATAAAGTCCATCCAATCACAAACATGTTCCCTCATGCTTATCACAAATACCTCTTCACAACTGAGAACATTTCTTCTCAGTAGAAAACTGGTCGTACAATCAGTGTTTTACAAGTGCAGCAGTGAGGTGCCTAACAAGGCCCTCATTTTGGTATGCCAAAGGGCATTACTTTTTGCTTGACTGGATTTTTCCTCTTCCCAAATGTCATTTACTTGCTTTCCACTCATACAAAGTGCCCTCTTGCAGTCTATATTAATATTCAGTCAAATCACAGTAAAACCTTGCAATGTAATAGTCCGGTGGTGGAGAAACATCTACTTTGATACGGTTCCCCCACACAAATACTGTTCGCTCAACAAAATATTGATTTTTTTTATTATTATTATTTACATCAGAGTTATGCTGGGAAGGGATGAGGGATGTGTTGCTAAGGGCTCAGTCTCAGGACCGGCTCTGGGTTGTGTTAATCATGATATTTGGGAGAGCGTTGCGTCTCTTTCTCCAGGATCCCAAATCACAAGCGTATCTCTTGATCTGACGAAACCACTGCTGAGTGCGAGGTTTGTCGGAGGCACGGAAAACGAAGGCCTCGCGTCGGATGTCCAGCACCTCGAAGGTGTCTTCACAGTCGGCGTCGGCGGACACCACGCAGTTCGCCAGATGGATTGGCTCCCGTAACACAGTGAACTTCCCGCTGCTCTTGTCCTTGATGAGCACCAGTACACCGTCCTGCACCGTCTCTGAGGTCTCCAGACTCCCTTCAGTCACCGTGTCTGCATTGCGCAGGGTGCGTACCATGAGTAAACTCTGAACGTTCTGGAATTTGAGGGATTTGCTTCCCTTCTTAAGCCACTGGCCATCGGCGGGCTGCGCCAACTGGAGTGGCCCCTCCATGATGAAGCGCGTGCTCTCTCGCGTCCAGCCCACCGTCTTCATCGACAGCTCTCTCATCTCAATGTTGATGACTTCTCGGTTCTTGCGACTGTCGCGCCGGAAAGAGCGCAAGGACCATGTGGCGGTCCCCTCCTGTTTGGTCTTCATGTTGATGTGCTCTAGATGGGACTCCACGCGGCTCTTGGCCTCTTTTAAGCGGGAGTAGTCTGGGTGACATTCGTTGGTGACCTTGCTGATGCGACTTAGCAGTAATGGGTACTTGGTCACACGCTGAAGTGGCGCCATGAGGAAGGAGCGCAGGTTCATGCGCCTGAGTGCTGTGTTGTCATTCTGGGACACATCGAGGAATATCCTGAGGGATGTAAAGGAGCAAACTTTCATATACTTTTAACTTGAGTCACATATTGCATACATAACATGCAAGAGTTCTGGGCTAGTTCACTGTCACTTGGCTCACTACGCACTGCAAACGTAAACATTTTGTGATGTATTGAACATTGTGGGTATACATTTTTGGTGCTGAGTCATCAAGTTAACTAGCTAGTTTATGAAATTATGGCTTAATAATAATTTCCAGTTATTATTGCAAAATAAAAACCTAATAAAAAACTTGATTTTGGCAAAAAAAAAAAAGCCTTTAACCACTTTACTAATTACAACACTTAACATTTAACGAAAAATAGTTATTTGTAAAATAAAAAACACTAGAGACCTTTCTTACATGTATAAACACACACACACACTGATGGTGTTCTGAAATGAGGAGGCAAAGATGTTTTTTAAATCAATTTTTAAATCAAATGTAAACTAGTCACATTTTCTTGTTTAAATAAACATTACTTTCACTATTAGAAAAAGAAAACAATTCTGTTTTATATTTTTACATTAACAATGTAATCAATACTCTATTTATTAAAGCCAAGTATGAATCTCATTAAGATGTGTTTTTAAGCATTTTACATTTATTCCAAAATAACTCAAGGCAGTAAAAATTTAAACAACATATTTTATTTGTGAACTTATGTTCAGCTATTCTTTTTAATAGTTAACTTGATCAATGTTATAGACTATATATAGTAATTATATTAATTACTAATTATTAATTATATTAATGACTCGGGTCATCAGTCATCAAAGCTCGGTAAATATTGGTCACAGACACAGATTTACTTTTACCAAGCTGATTACTCACTAAAACCCCCCACAGATCATGTTTTCATGCCATTTTACGCATCATTTTGATGTAACAAACAACTTTTTTAAATTAGTCTTCCCATTAATGCCATTATATTGTTCATTCAAACTGATTCGCAAACGCACACCAAAACAAGTGACGGGATTTATCTCATGAACCAATCACAGACGAACATAACCAGTCATGGTTGTCACTGTTCTTAATGGTGAAGCTAGTGAAATATTAAGTACATAGTGCATGTACAATCCTGAAGGATTATATTTGAAAAGACCTACTAACTGATGCTTAACTACCTTTATTTGTAACACTGAATGACAGTGGATAACCAGTTAAGCAGTTTATATTATATATTATGTGTACCTAAGAAGCTCTTTTTCTTTCTCCAGTGTGTTGAGCATGTTCACAGATATGGACTGCTGCAGGCAGTAGGTCTGAAACGCTGGAAGCATGTTGACAAACTCCAAGAAGATTTCTCCAATGCACACAGTCTGCAGGTCCTCATCGCCCTGTGGGGAGACAGTCACTGTTTAATTTAGGTTTGCCATTGCCATTACTTTTTTTGAGCAGGTATTACTCCAGTCTTCAGTGACACATAATCATTCAGAAATTATTCTAAAATGTTGATTTGGTGCTCAAGAAACATTTCTTATTATCAGTGTTGAAAACAGTTGTGCTACTTAATATTTTTGTGGAGACCGTTATAGATTTTTTTTTCAGGATTACAGGAATATTTAATGAATAGAAAGTTCAAAAGAACAGTATTTATTTGAAATAGAAGAAACATTGCATTTATATATATATATATATATATATATATATATATATATATACAATATATATAGAGACACATATGTGT